TATATATCTGTACACACATATATATAGTCTTGCAAAATTGCTTCTGCATTTCTCCACGTGTCAGAATGGATGTTTACAACAAACCAGAGCTAAAGGGACACTGTGAGGTTTTGGGTTGTTTTCCTTATCTCTAAAAGAAAATACTGTTTGCATTTTTCTTCAACTCAATTGCTTGGTCTCCTGCTTGTACTTAAACAAAACTGCTGAAGAGAAAAGAAGCCTGTAAGCTTTCAGACTGCAGTAGTCTGAGATGCTATCAGTGATGCAGGTAGAACATTTCTGAGCTCTTATTTACACAAGGGCCAGACTATCAGCTCAGCCTATGCCACTGCACCACATATATACATATATATATATATATGTATGAATTCATATATATTCTCCCCTGAATCAGTGATGCAAATAAATCATTAGCACGTGTTACCCTCACAGCACAGCTCAGTTTCACAGCCTCTACACACATAGGTATGTGTTTGAGAGTCCTGCTTTTAAAAGTTTCATTGCAAATTTTTAACCTGACAGTGTCCCTTAAGAAAAAATACATATTGAGTGTAAGAAAGGACACCCTCCTACAGATGTCTTCTTTTTATTATTAAAACCAACAGTTTGAAAACCATTCAACAAAATTGAATACAAATTGCCATTGGAGAATAGCTTCAGTGAGAGTGAAGCTATGTATGGCTGCCTCCCCAACATGGCTTTAGTTATCACAAGTTACATTATTTGCACGTTTCCTTAGGTCTTTCATGGCACTTCCATGAAGAAGAAGAAGAAAAGGCTGACACACTGCTGCTACCACCTCATCCCAGGTCACCCACGGACACAGCCAGGCAGTGCCAGTCCTGCCCACGGTGCCTGAACCTCAGGGTTACCCACAATATTGCAAGGCATTCAGAGGGACAAGAAAACAAACAGCCACAGGAACAGCCACAGTGCCTATTTTTTTTTTTTGCATTGTCATTAATCACATTCCTATTTTTCAACAGATTGTTGCCTAAAATGCAGGTTAGAAAGGCTTTCTTTAGAAAACGCTGGCATGAGGATGCAGACTAATGTTTGTGACTAATGAAACAGTCAGAGTCCTGATGGAGACATTATTTAAACATTCACAACTTGGAGGAAATGTGCACAGTTGATAGCACTGACAGATAGTCTGACTGTCACTGAGAAGCAGCAGGGGAAGTGCCTCCTGCATACTGGCAGGAGGATTGATGAGGGTGGGAGATCGGAATAGCATACTGTGGTTTATTTGGAAAGCTATAGTAGTATTTGCCATAAATATTGCAAGCTCCGTTGATGAGCTTGGCAGGTTTACAGAGTAACATTCACGGAAAACATGAGAAACAAACCCAAAGCCATTTCCATGCAGAGTACACCTCCCTCAGAGTCACTGGGTCTCTGTCACCTGTTGGCTGGAGCACACCTGCCATACACACAGATGCTGCTGATGGAAAACCCAGAGGCATTCTACACACCAGTGCATCCCAGCCTCTGGCTGTAGCAGTGGGATCAGGGACAAACACAGGGTAATAAATGGTTTTGCAGTGGCAAGGACTGCCACAGACAGAATCTGCCATCTGAGAGATGTGAAATTACAACTGTGGGTGCCACTTTGCAAACCCTCCTGTCTCAGCCACCATGGGCTTCAGGTGGAGCAGAGAGGTACCAACCCAGGGCTGAACTTCAGGGGTACACAGGAGGGGTCTGACTCCTGAGACACCCAAATCGAAGCTCGTTCTGCCTCCAGGCCAGACTCAACGTGGCTGTCACCTTCTCCTTCTCTGCCTGACACCCTATCATTCCTGGGAGTGGGAAGCTGGCACAGGGAAGCAGCAAAGGAGTTGCCAGAACTGCAGGGTCAGTGCTGGTACCCTGATTTCAGCAATACACTGACAGTGACACCAGGTGTTTGGAATGTTTGGCCACACTCAACAGAAAGCAGTGGCAGCCCCAGTGACACAGGCACCCGCACAGCACCCCTGCAGCACTGCTGCCAGTGGGGACAGGACACATCGTGGAGGCCAAATTCATCACAGTAACTCCAGAAATTAATTTAGCTTCAGGGACTATGGCATCATGCAACTAATAATGTTTTCTTTTGAAAAGGGCACATTCCAAACGTTTCTGTCTGTATGTGCCATCTCATGAGCACATTTGGAGCAAGACTGTTAGAGGAGAAAGGCAATGTGCTAGCCCAATGCAAATCCTGCTTTTCCATTACCCCCTTATCCTGACCACTTCTCCCTCTGCTAAGTTAACTGCTTAGACTGCCAACAGACAGATGTTCTTTTGGTGGAGAAAAGCAGGTAATTAATGATATTAAATTCTGTCATTTCCTAAAGGGATTGCAAGAAGAATCAAGAAGTAGCAGTGTAAACTATGTGTTATTTCAGCTGCAACTGATGTATTATGCATTATGGATATAAATTGAAAGAGGGAAATTTAGCATAGATCTTAGGCAGAAGTTTTCCCTGTGAGGGTGGTGAGACACTGTCCCAGGCTGCCCAGGGAGGCTGTGGCTGCCCCAACCCTGGCAGTGTTCACAGCCAGGTTGGCTAAAGCCTTGAGCAACCTGCTCTGGTGGGAGGTGTCCCTGCCCAGGGCAGGGGGTTGGGGCTGGATGATCTCTGAGCTCCATTCCAACCCCTTAACATACTATGAAACCATGTCTTTACAAGTGCCTGTTAAATAAAACCTAAACAGACAAGACCCAACAGCTGGAGGGCAAGGCTGCTCTCACAGCATGGCATCCCTCCTGCAGATTCCAGCCCCTCACTGGAGCTCCTATGTGCCTTCACTGCTGGGAAGGAATTCATTCATGGTATTTGTATGAAAGCCAATAAACAGAACAGACTAGGGTGTCATTCCTGCACACATGTAACTTCACTCAAATAGCACTTCTGATGACATGGATGCAACTTAAAGCAGGTTAAAACTACACAGAAGTTTATGGAGGAACACAGTAAAAGGGGAAAATGCCCCATCTGGGGGAATTAGAGTATCATTACACCAGGACTGATCAGAACTACTTCTGTAATCAGGAATGCTTCAATAGATGAAGTTTTTATAAAATATAGGGTTACAGAACTGAGGCATTCTATATACTCTGTATTATAAAAAGCTTCCACTCACATAATTTTTTAAAATATATCTCCACTGCTAACAGTATATTTGCAATATAGTATCTGATATAATAAAAATATATGCTTACTGGATGGGAGCGTGTAGCACTACTGCAGGGACTGCCCTGGATGGTCTGAGCAGCTGGAAAAGTTGGCTGTTCCCTCCTTCCCTTGGTCTCTCAGCCATCAGCTGCCTGGAGGTGGCAATGGCACTCGGTGTGTCAGCTTGCCAGAGGCTTCTGCAGAGCAGGCTCTGACATGGTCCTCAGCTGACACATCACCTACTGGGAAAATCCAACCTTGGTGTAAATTCACTACCTGAGTTTTTCTGGGTTTATTAATTAAAAAAACAACACCCAAAGCAATACTCTACATGGCATTAGCAAGGAAACGGGGCTTGTACAGGACATGCAACTGCCTTGGAGGGAAAAAAAGATGGGGCTGGCAGCTGATTCTGAGACTGATAACAACTCGGTAGCTGCTAATCAAATGCACAGGGCACTTTGTGGGTGCCTAGGTCTGTATGTGGAAATATCTGCATCTTCTGGGCCCTGTTCTGCACTAAGGAAAACCAGAAAGCTTAAATCAATCCATAATGGGGGGCTGTAATGTCCAGTGGAAAAACACAAACATTCAAATTATGAACCTAGGAAGTGTGTGCCAAACTACACCAAAAGGACTGCAGCACATGCCCATGGTGCCACTGAGATGGGCAGTGGAGAATCACCTGCTGCCCCATCACATGCTGGGACTGCAGCAAGTGGCTGGGACCAGGGCAGGTGTTCATCTTTCTGTACCAGCCCTTATGAACCTGCCTGGTCTTTCAAGAACTTACCATTCTTGAACAGGATTTGTCTTGTACTTTGACAATTATATGTGCAACACATTTTGCCCCTTTCTGGCTCACCCTAGCATGAAGATCCCCTGGTTAATGTGTTCAGGAAGAACTCCACCAAACTCAGTGTGGTGGCACCAGTGCATGTGAGGAGAAGTGGGGTCTCTGCAGAAATGGGGATACTGGCTACACAGGCTGTCTGCTTAATGTCCCAGGTACATTGACTGTTCATTTTCTCACAGACTGCCCTGGTAGTTTGACTTTTGTCAAAGCAGATGAACGTCGAAGGCATTCATAAAACATTGTGCCATATGTAGTATAGACTGAGCTGTCACTTGCAATAGATGGCTGAATGGCTATTGACATGTGCTATCATAGGTAATTAAGCTTGCTAGATTAAAAGCATGACTTGTGCCTAGCAAACAATGCTCTATATTACTCATTGAACTTCGAGCAAAAGTTCTCTCTCGTCAGGGTTTATTAAAATATTCACATGCTTCCAAAATGGAACAAAGGTCCACCGATGTCTCATGGGGAGAGAGGTGGGATCGGTTGCATTCGGTTGCCATTTGGTTGGAGATGTCATACAAAATCCTCACACACTGGACATGGCTCAATTGTAAAAAGCTTTCACCCAGAAAGGAGATCTTTGTTTCACAGGAAGTCTCTGCCTCCTCCAGCGCTTGCCCGGTCGCGTGGTTACATGACGTTCTCGAAGAGCTGTAATGATTTCATGATGTTGTCATCCTGAAAGAAGGAGAAGGTATTTCCATCAAACCAGCATGGATAAGCACGACTCATAACTCTGCCTGGCACAGGCTCTGAGCTGCTGCTACCAGAGCAGCCTTGCTCTGGGAATGCATTTCCTCCGTGACCATGACCTGGGGCTGATCATGCCCAGGCCTTGATTCAGCACAGCAGTTGTCTCTTGCTTTGGCCCCTGGGCTGGTTTGAGGCAGGCAAGCATGGGGTCTTCTCCTGGGCCTGATGTTCAGCACAGGCTGTGCTGTACAGGGCACTGGGCTTGGTGCCTGTGCTGAACCCTCAGAGGTCACTGATCCTGTGTCTGCAGATGTACACTTGGTCAATATGCTCCACAGGCCCAAAGGAAACGGCAGGTTTTGAGTCTTCATCCCAGAAATACAACCAGCTCAACCCAAAAGGCATGCAATCTGTGCAACCTCACTCTTGCTGAGGTTCCTAGAGCCAAATGAGAAAGTTACAGATACAATGGAAATCCAAAATTGTTTTTCATGAAGGTTTGGAATTGTACTTTGAGGTAACAACCACAGTAGCATTCAAAACCTTAATGATGGCTTTTCATCCCCTCCAGGAATTCAGTTATTCCAACAGGTAGAATACCTGTTCGCCTGTTACATGACAATAATTTTCCACATTCAGCAACTTCTGAGATCTGCTGTATCACATTCTTCAACTGTGTTTTGAGGCCGCATCATCTATGTAATTTCTTACCCATTTTGGGGGATATTAGTACAAGGCTTCTCTTTGTATGGGAAACCAATCCCTTCTCCAAGGCAAGGCTAGGGGTTCCCTGCCCATGACCCAGAGCCTCTGCAGTGGCACAGGTAAGCACTCTAGTGCCCTTTGGCTAGTTAGCCTCATAAAAATAAACATTAGTGTGGCAGAGCTTGCTCCTGCTGCCAGGATAACACACCTGGCAGTGCATTGCTCTGCCCAGCTCCTAGTGCAAGGATGGCAGCAGAAGGAACCAAACCCAAATCAGGGCAGAGAATTAAAACTCTTAACAGTTAAAAGTAAAGCTGCTTCAGTGCTGAGACCACTAATCATGCACACACCTCCAGGCTAATTATGAATGGGAAGAATAATACACAACATAAATTATCAAATTAAAAATAGTGCCAAAAATAAGCCAAGCAATCAGGAGGGATGAAGAATGTACTGAAAAACATCAGCCTTCTATTATCCAGCTGCTAACAAGGAATTTGCTGCCTGAAGCCCCTGACAGAGAAGTAATGTGGATGTGGCCAGAGCCAGGGTTCACACAGAACTAGAAGGAAGCCAGCCCAGCCCTCCACAGTGAGAGAAAAGCTGTCAGGGACAGAAAACCTGTCTGGCTGCAGAACTGGGAAGCATTTTCCAGGGAAAGTAAAATACACAGGAGGGCTAGTATGCAATTATTTGTACCAATGTAAATGTTCTAAGAGGCAGAGGCCATTATTGCACTGTCAAATATTAGAGATATCTCTGAGCAAACATTCATGCAAGTTAATTAAAGTCTAAGACAACAGACATTTGGCCAATTGCATGTAAATGCAGATACTTCTTTGAGCCAGTGCTAAAAGAACCAACAAACATTTATCACAGACAACCTAACATATGGAATTTGCAAGAGGGAACTTATTTCCAAAACAGAAACAAAAATATAAATCCATTGCTATGATGACAGCATTTGCTTTTAATGTTTGACCATGAAAACATCGACTGGTTCTATAACTCAGTGCTTTAATTTCAGTATTTTGAGATACCTTTGTCTCTGGGCAGTTCCAACAATGTGGTACCTGATAACATCCAGTGCAGCACACAAAGACAGCATCAGCCTCTTAAAAAGAAATTACAAAAAAAAAAAAAAAAAAAAATAAAAAGCCCCTAAAACAGTTAAAAGCTTTCTCTAGAGTTGTCTGCTTGTCTGCAGACTCAGGCACTGCAGTGCACTCCAGAAAATATAAGCACTGGCCCCCAGCACTGGAAATGAAGAGATCCTCTCCCATGTTTGGCCTGACCCTTATCTCACTGTTCAGTCACAGACTTCACAGAGCATCACCAGAAACTCAAGCTGGGTTGTTGTTCCTAGCACAAAGAGCAAAGAAAACAGGATCCTGGGCAGCATGTGGTGTCAAACAGTTTGTCCAAAGGGAAAGCAAATGCTATGGCATGAGCTAGACCTTTCCTTGCAGTTGTAATTTTGTCCTTACCTCCTGACACGATTCAATAAACTCATCTAAAGTTACAACTCCATCTTTGTTTTTATCCATTTTCTGCAAAACAAAATTTAAAAAATGTTAGTTTTCATGGGTAACACTTGTTACAGCATAATACCTCAGTTGATGCAAACTGAACAAAGCTGGGCATTTGACAAGCTTAGATCAAAGACTTCATGTCATGGTTAGATTGGCTGACTGCTGAGGACTTGTTTACTCAAATTTGGAGCACTTTTGAGGACCTTGACATCACCATAACCTCTGCCAATATTCCATTGTTTATTTATTCACTGCTCACCAACTCCCACCCACATTCCTGTCTGTCTTTAGGGCACTTGAAGCAGCACTGAAGGGCCACAACACACACAGAGGCTTCAAACTTGCTGCATGTGTCACAGCCCAATGCAAAGGGTCAGGTGAGGAGACAAGCAAGGTACCTCTGGAGCCAGGAAATCAGCAGACACTGTAGTGTTAGGCTGAATGGCTGCTAGGGTTTGTTTTGGAATATATAAAGAGGCAGACACTCAACTTTACAGTAGTCTCTCAGTGCATAGCTCAAGAGGTAAGAGAAACACATTGAAAACCAGGTACCTGGAAAAACACTTCTACATGCTGCCTTGGTGCATCTTCCTTGAGCACTGGATACGTGTACTTTCCCATCATATCATAAATTGCCTTTACAATATCCGTCATCTCCTGCCGCAGCAGCACAAACACAAAAGAGAGAGTAAGAGAAAGGATAGCACATTTCTATCCTGTACTGCCCTTTCCTTCACACCCTCCATCTCCTGTTCAGAACAGCACAGAGAATGCCAATACATGTGGATGAAGACAGATATATCATAACACACAAATTCATCTCCAAAAAGCCTCTCGCTGCCCATGCCCTGCCTTTGCCTGCCCCAGCAGGCTCCCTCACTGCTCCCTGCCCTGCTCTGGCCAGCAGCATAGCAGGGCCTATTCTCTGCCTTGGCAGCTGCTAGGAGCAGGTGGTGTGCTCAGTCCTCAGCACTGCAGCACCAACCTTGTCCCAGAGCATCCTCCAGGGCCAGGGACCTTCCAGCTGTCACTGGGAACCTGGGCTCTCTCCACACCTACTGCAAATTGTCACCCAGCTCCATGACCAGTGGCAGTAACTGCAAACCCTCCAGGGATGCACAATGGTTTTGAGAAGACAGACCAAGATGTATTTGAAACATATTCAAGGTTACCATGCTCAAAATCACGGTGTCCTGCAACAGGAGCAAGTACACCAGATAACATGGGAAGGACATGAACTGTTGGAGCAAGGCCAGAGGAGGCCACAAAGCTGATCAGAGCACTGGAGCACCTTCCCTATGGGGACAGGCTGAGAGAGTTGGGGCTGTTCAGCCTGGAGAAGAGAAGGTTGTGTGGAGACCTCAGAGCACCTGCCAGGAGCTGAAGGGGCTCCAGGGAAGCTGCAGAGGGACTCTTGGTTAGGAACTGCAGGGACAGGACAAGGAGCAATGGGGAAAAATTGAAAGAGGGAAATTAAAGTTAGATCTTAGGCAGAAGTTTTCCCTGTGAGGGTGGTGAGACACTGTCCCAGGTTGCCCAGGGAGGCTGTGGCTGCCCCAACCCTGGCAGTGTTCACAGCCAGGTTGGCTAAAGCCTTGAGCAACCTGCTCTGGTGGGAGGTGTCCCTGCCCAGGGCAGGGGTTGGGGCTGGATGATCTCTGAGCTCCATTCCAACCCCTTAACATACTATGAAACTATACAATAAGAAGATAAAGGCAGATGACAATGCAGGATTTGGGAGTGGTGCTGGAGGCTTCTAGTGCTTCTGATGACCCACATTGTACTTCCCAGTGCAGAAAGAATGCCCTTGTGCCTCTGTCACCAAGTAGCTATTGCCACTGTCACCCTCCCCTTTGCAAAGGTTATGTGGCTCATAGCTCTAACTAGGATTTTGCTCCCAGCCAAAGCAATCCATTAAAGGAACTGTAATATGTGAAAATATGCCTAGAATATCATGCAATAAGATCACTGTGCACTTTGCTTAGACATAGATAAATGCTCAAGTCCAGTCTGATTTGCATTTAACTAGCTGCATGTGAAATTAATTGTGTTCTGCAACAAAACCCAGTTATCTCTCTTCTAAAATCAACCAGATTTGTCTGGAACAGCCTTACCTCCTTGTTTATATAGCCATCCTTATTTATGTCATACAGATTAAATGTCCATCTTAGCTTTTCATGAACAGTTCCCCGCAGCAGAATAGACAATGCCATCACAAAATCCTGGTTTGAGGCAGAGAGAGAAGTGTGAATTTTCATAACACCTTTTCCTAAGTCACCCTCTTTATATAATGCCAGTCAAAAGATTTCTCTTTTTAGGATGGATCATGCATTATCAACTTCTTCTGGCTCCTCTGTCCAAAAATGTGTCCTCTCTGACTGAACCCAACGGATGAGGCATCTACTGAGATCTCTGGTTTTTAAGGGCACTGCCAGATGCTCCAGTGGCCATTCCCCTCCCTGCTGCAAAGTCATCACTCAGATTGGCACTGCCTGGTCAAACACAGCTGGAGTGTGCCTGTGCAAGTAGAAGCTGATGCTTTCTTACCTCCAGATATAGGTACTGGAAAAGCAGGGAGAAAAATACAGTATTTTCTCCATGTCTGCCTTGAGAGATCCCAAACTCTTCTATAGTATAGGGAGCCTTAGGTATTGTTCACTGGCAAAATCTGTCAAACCTGACCAGATGCAGCTCCCACTGCTAATTACTCAGTGTGGGACACACTTTTTGTTTACAGCAAAATTATTGCTTCAAATAACTTTGGTTTATTGCTTATGGTGGCTCAGGCACTGTGAGCAGCATTGCTACAGGGGTTTGTTCACACAGACAGAGCTTCAAGCTAACAGCTCTACAGTTCCTGATACCTTGTTTAATGTCCTGAGTCCTCCCCATGTCACCTGCATGAGCTCTGCATGGGGCAGTGCATCCCTGCTTAGAAACCTCTGCTCCTTTTTGCAAAGGTTCAGAGCAATTTGAATTTGTTGAACAGTACAAAAAAGGGGACAAAATGCTTATGTCTGACAACCACTAAAGAGACAGGACTGCCCGGAAGGAAAGCTCAGCACTTTCTAGGTTTGTTTGTTGTTATTTTTAGCAGCATTTTCCTCTTCTCAGTCTATTTAGGTTTCTGCACACCTTTAACTACTGAGTAGCTGCAATGTGCAAACCTCCCACTGCATCTGTCACTACAGAGACACAGAGATACATATGGAAACATTTCCATTTTACATGTAGTGAATGGACTCATTTCTCAGTCTTACCTGGAAATTACCAGAGTTCTTGGCCATTTGACAGCAAAGGCAAGACTGCCTATGATTTCTAGCTTCATGATCATAGTCAACTGTCTTTAAAACTATGAAGTTCATCCTCCAAAAGTCTGTGATTTAGCATATGCCTTTGCTGCTCTCCTACAACTATGGGTGTGAGCGTGAAGAGTGGCTGTTTGTAGCCAGAGCAACAGGTGTATTAGTTAGAGGATGGAATTAGTTTCCATTGGATACCAAGTACCTGAGATGCTTGTTCAACGTATCAAATCAGCTTCAAAACCCATATTCCAGGAACATACAGATATAACAGTTAATCATGCAATGCATGATGACTGCAGGAGGTACAACATGCACGTTATCAATGCCCTGCATCTCTTTTCATGTGGGACTCTCCTTGACCACTCCTCTCTGCTATATAAGCCTCTGCACACCCTGTGATCCTGACTGACACAATCTAGATGTTTCTTTTTTGAAAGGAAACTGCAGCTGCATCAGCATAAACCAGATTTTAAAGCATCAACTGATTTTAGACTGAAACCTCTAACCCATAATCCAACAAGTCCTCCTGGCTTACAGTAAAGAATGGACAGAAAAGCTTAAAAACAAAAAACTGAGAAAGTGGCATAAAAGGAAGATGCAAAACAAGTACCTCAAACTTCACTGAGCCGTTTTGTGCAGTGTCGAATGCGTTGAAGAGGTAATGTGCATACGTGCTGGCATCTGAAAAACACAGAGGCACAGGCTGCTGCAGCAGCTCAGCATACACCAGGGACTCTAAGCAGCAGTCACTATCCTTATTTTCCTTCTGTATAAAAAAACAACCTTCTAGCACTGCCACGTGTTCTGTGAAACAGATGTTAACATGGACTTGCAAAATCTTGACACCCTCCCGTAAAACAGCAATGAATGCAAAAGCTTTTAGCACAATAAAATTATATGGATTATGGGACAGGATTTGAAAGGATGAGGAGAAACCCCCCAACCATCTCAGATTGTCTGTGTGTCAAATGGAGTATTAGCTCTGGTTATTATTATTAGCTTAGATAACTTCATGACAGTTCAGCAAAAGATAAACCTGCCAAGGATAGGAGCTCTGTGTAACATAACCATCACAAGCCTGGGATGACACTGCACAAAACTTTCACAATTCAGAGCTACCTTAACACCTCTAGGATGTAAAAGTTTATCTGTAAAGAGAGCTATAAAAGTGAAAGACTCTCTGAGGATTCCAAAATCTCACAACTTCTGACACTAAGGTTATACAAATAGATTTGAAACCAACTGAAAGAAAACAGTGTCAAATATAAAATCCTATCTGATGTTGAACTGATTACACTTAAGCATGGTTGTACTTCCATCATCACTAACTTAGGGAGAATCAGATTTCAAGGGAATGGGGCACACAGAAAAGGGAAAGGCAAGTCTTGGACACACCTAGTAGAGGGGGGACAGTTATCTATGCAAAAAAAAAGAAGTTTCTGTGCCTGAGTGTTTTTCACACATGGGAAGGAAGGAGTCACCTGAGCTGTGGTGCTTAAAGAGTTTTTGGGGTAATTGGAGTTCCTTGGGCCCTGGAAACTCAGGTTGAAAACACAAAACACATCCAGAAATACATGAAGAGTATAAATACTTGTATATAAATACTTGTTAAATAAATACATGAATCAATCAATAAATAAATGAACTGGTTGCATTTTACAACAAAACTAAAAGCAATCACAACAGAAAATCATCAAGTCCATACTGAAATTGAATGCAAATTTTTACAGGTGTAAATCTTTGATGTCACATGTGTTGTAAAACATAAACATAATGTGTTTTCTCTTGACATGTAATTGGAAAACCACTTGTTAATGACCTTCGTAAAGACACACGGACACATTCAGTCCTGCAGCAGCAGCAGCCACCACTGCCCAAGGAGTGTATTCTGCAGCTGCTGCAGAGTGGAATATATTTGGAGAGCCTCAAATTACTGAAACTTTTACTAAGAAGCCACTTAAAGCCATGACTCATTTCTTTCAACTGGAGAACAGCATCCCCACAGAACATGTGCAGTTAGAAGGACATACAGACTCTTGATGTTTTGAAAAGGCAAGAACACCTATTATTTGAGAGATTTAATACAATACTTCATTATTTCCATACATGACATGACCTTGTCTTAGTCACACCGAAAAGCATCATTTCAGGTAGCCAAGTGTTCACACATCAACTGAGAATCACTTTGAGAATTTGAAGGAGGCTTTGATTAATTTTCAGGCCAAAATGAGGTCTGGGACTGTTCTGTGCTAGATACTACATGCCCAGCAGTCCAACAGCAGGGAAGCAAAGACACACTGAGGGGAAGGGATTTCACTTTCTGCCAGCCAGAAAGTCAGTACAGAACTAAGCATCAATTCCCAGTTTCTGTTTTAGACCTGGGGAATAACCTAGGGGCACCTAGGGGCAATCTTTAATGGGGGTTTGTCTATGTGAAATAACTGCTCAAAGGGCCTAACAATTTTATTACCTTGATGTTTGTGTTTCTGCCTAAAATGCTGCAAAGCTTAAGCTCAATTCCCAGCTCTTGCACAGATGATGTGCAGCAGTTTGCAGCCAGCTGGCAGTAAGGGAAGTTCAGGCATGCTTCAACAGCCTTGACAGGCACAACACTCTCTGCTTACCTCCATGAGGAAAAAACTGTGCATAGATCTGTTTGAATGTTTCTTCATTAACAACCCCACTAGGACATTCCTGTTGGAAAACAAAATAAAAGAAAAAAAATCAGGAAAAAACAGCTTTGTGAGGGTTCATTGGCAAAACTCTACAAGCCCGAGGAGAGCAATTAAACAAATCACAGCCCTGTTCTCCCTGCATGTGCAGGCTGTGCACCTGGAGGAATTAAAGTCATTCAGACTGCAATTTCATCTTAAGCATCTCACAGACTTGGTTCACCATTATTGATATTTCTAACTGTGTTTTCAGCAGTGTCTCATCACTGGTTTATAGGCTGACCTAGAAAGGCAGCTCATGCCTTCTGTCATATGAAGCTTTCATCTAATAATTACACATCATGTTTGTGCCAGCTGACACCTCCCTGTCCAGTGCCTCCAGAGATATGAAAGTCTCAATCCCCAGGAGCAAGCTGGAGCTGGATGCCTGGCACCAGCTCCATGGAGGTGAATGCTGCACACTACACTAGTAAGTCCTTACAAACAAGCATTAAAAATAGCTAGAAAAAGATTAGATCATTTTTTAATCTCTTTATCTGCTCAGTCTTCTGTAAACTTCTCAGGAGCCAGACTGTGCCCATGCATATTTTGTAACCTGGTGAGTGTGGTCTTGTTTCTCAGGTCTGGTACTGCAATGCAAGGGATTTCATATCACTTTGGGCTGCTTCAAACCCTTAGGGAGAGGGTGGCAGGTCTTCTGCCCTGAACTTCCTGACCTACTGACTAACCAGCCCCATGGGGTGGCATTTGGGAATTTAAAAAGGGATTGATCCCTGCCTGGAGGGCTCACACTGGCTTAGCTACAGCCCAGCAAGACCCAAGCTGTTATGGTAGTTTGGGGTAGGAGGTGCTCCCTGGGCACAGCTGCAGAGCCTGGACAGCATCCCTGAAGGGAGACACAGCTGGTACAAGGGGCTGGGCCCCAGGCTTTACCCTGTGAGTGGGACCTGAGCTGGGGTCCCCAGATCATACCCAGCAGGGCCACAGTGAATGCAGGAGACAGCTGGGAAACAGCACAAAAACTCTGTTTTGTGAATCCTGTTTCCTTACTCTCAACACTTTTTTTGAAACTTAAATTCCTTGGACAATTCAAGCAAAATTTAGGAGCAACTTTAGCTTGGCTGTGGTGCTTTAGTACCTCCCCACCAGCTCAGTGCTGCTGTAACACATATCAGTGGGTCACAGAGGCTTAGGCACTGCTCTCTAACCATGTGACGGTTTCAGTTATATAAAATATTTCCCAGATGATGATGCTATTCCTTAGATTTGCCTATCAACCAATTCTGAAAAGTAAACCAGAGTAAAATAATAATAACCATAGCACTGATCCTTTTCCACAGAGCACAGAATTACAGATAAAGTCAGTTTGCTCCCACACTCAGAAACACTGCCCAGCAGAGACACCGTGGGTCTGTGCCCCATCACAGGTCTGTGCCCCATCGTGGGTCTGTGCCCCTTGCAGGCATCAGACCCCACTCCCCTCCCAGCCATTTAATCCTCAGCCTCCACTGAGACAGCACAGCAGAGGGAGGCAAGAGGGAGCAAGAACACTGTCACTCCTGGTAGGACATGTTTAAGATGGATTATCTGATTAGGTTGACAGAACCTCTCACAAAACTGGTGTGTATGTCTTGGTTTGATGCTTATGATTAAGCTGAAGGGCAGATTTAGGATCAAGAATGTTCATCTGTTGCTGGCAGTATACTCACTCCATGCATTCCTCTCTGTGTTGTGCTGTGTTTGCTGCCTCACTTTAATACAGGTCCTTCAGCAAAGAGCTTCATAGAATACAACCTTTGCACAAGAAATCCCCAGCTTTCAATTTTTGGAACCTGACCCTTACTACTTTGCCTGATAGCCCTAAATTGCTGTACAGAGACAGTGAGCAAACAGCTGATCCTGACGATTTTTCCACCAGGCTGAAACATCCCACCCTGAGAAGCACAGAAGGTGCTGAGCATCCTTTGACCATCTCTGCATCTCTCTGTGTGCACCATATCCTTTCTGAGTCAGCAGCCCAGGACTGCAAGCCATGTGCAAGATGCCAGTACACTGTTCATTCATCTTCCAGCATAACCAGACTCTCTCCCTGTTGCTCTGTTCTTCTCCCAATGAATCCCAGTTAGAATTATTGGAGAAATGGGATGGAAACTGTTTTTCAGATCTTTCCAGTAATGCTAAGGCTAATCCAGTCTGTTGGCTAACCCTGGCTAATTTTCTGGCAGCATATCATATTTCCCTTCTGGACTTAGGGAGAAAAGTATTAGAAATGCATTTGAGTCCATTCTTCTTCACTAACACATCTGGAAGGGCCATGCTCTGTGCAAAGATGCTGTGGTAGCACGACGTGCTGGCTTGGGCTGGGGGAGAGTTAACTTTCTTCCCATTGGCAGTTATGGGGCAATGCTTTGGATCTGTGCTGAACACAGGGATGATAATACAGACATGGCTTTGTTTATCACTGAGCAGAGCTCACACAGAGCCATGGCCTTCTCTGTTTCCATACTGCCATGCTGGGGAGGAAGCTGGGTGTGCAGGGGAGATTGGGAGGAGACACAGCTGGGACAGGTGACCCAAACTGACCAAAGGGATATTCCATACCATAGGACATCATGCTCAGTATATAAAGTGGGAGGAAGAAGGAGGCAGGGGAGGA